CTTATTTATTTTCACTTGTTTTTCTGTAATATTTATTTAAATATAAAGGCACACTAATCGGGACAGGCACACTAATAGGGACAGTTACCCTATTTGCAAAATTAATTTCAAAAAGAAATTGTACAATAATTGAGAAAAAAATTTCAGCTATGTGATGTTTAAAGTATGTAGAAATATAATTTCATATAAAGAAATCAACTTAATTTATATATATACTTATAAATTATAAGTATTACATATAAGTATTACTTACATATAAGTATTACTTTACATATAAGTATTACTTATAAGTATTACATATAAATTAAGGAAATGGATAATAACTTTTTCGCAATTTTTGACACATATTGTTTACAAAATTTTATTTCGACAAAACTATTGCGTTATGGTGAATCATCTTAGTGCAATCATTGCAGGATCGTTGTTATTTATGATGCCAGTTTTGTGCAATATTTTCACAATTTGCCTATTAGGGCAGTTAATCGGCAAACTGAATCTCAAGCCTCTAAAGATTAATTCGAGTAAAATTAATTCTTCTCTTACAAAGCAGTGTTCCATCGATTTTTTTTATATATCACTGTAATATTACTGTGATGTATTTCGGCGGACATTTTAATATTACTGTGATATTACAGTAATATTATGGTAATATTTTTACTATATTAGAGTGTAATATTGCAGTATTATTACGTGCTATGTAGGAGGTTTTAAGTGCGCTTAAAATGCTATAAAACTGCATTTATCCTGGGCTGCGTTCCGTTTTACGCATATGCGCGCATATATCTGTAGTACACGTCACGTATAGTATAGATAAATGCGCGCATATGCGTGAAACGGAACGCAGCTCTGCGCTGATCTTACATGCTTAATAACGCGCTTTTTTAGTAGATTTTGAATGCGCTTTTAAATCGCTAAAAAAAATGCTGAATTCCTGCATCTGCATTAGCGTTTTTTAGCGCTTTTCAGGCGCTAGTGTGCTACGTGGGAATGTATTTTATACCGCTTGCTAATTTATTTATTGTTAGTTATTCAAATGATTAAAAATATATTTATTTTTGTGCTGACAGTTTTATGCTGATCTCTATAACTTGGCTCTACAAAATGCCGGAATCAAAAGTCGACTTCTGATGAAAAGTATCTCTTTCAAACTCGCTGTCACTGTCGCAGAACTTCTAGGTCGCACTAATGTAATCAACATGTCATCTTAAAATGTAATGTATTAAGAACAGAAATAAAATAAACATTTTCATTTTAATATAATCTTCACAAAATTTGTGATTAGAAAACATGAATTAAAAAAATATATATATAATACGTGAAATACATGAAAGTTGTTAAAATGCATTGCATTGTTATTAACAATTGCTAGTATTCAACAAGTATGTATACAACAGCGTCTTATATAATTTTACAGTATGAATATAGAAAGAATACTATTTTTTAGTTGCAGATTTTATAAATAATCATTTTTGTAGATCTCAGTACAACGTATAATTGCAAGATCTTTAATTGACACTCTCATACTTCTTCCTGTATCATCATTAAAATGAAACTCTTCTTACATAGAACATCTGGTCCCCTTAGGAAAATTTACTTCAAAAGACTTCAAAAAAAAAAACTTCATAAAAACTTCAAGTTTACTTAGAAGTAAATTGGAACAAGTTTACTTCAAAAAGTAAGTTTACTTCAAACTAAATAACTTAAAGTAACTTTTTAGTTACTATTGAAGTTAACTTAAAGTTTTTCTTTGAGTTTATACTTGAAGTTAACTTGAAATTTTTCTTGAACATTATTTAATTTTTTGAAAGATTCTTTGGATTTGACATTGTAGTTAGTAGTCCATTTTGCTCTTATTTTTGTGAAACGCTTTGCAACTTAAAATCTAAAGAAAGATTCTATCTAGAGAATCCAAGTGGAATTCCTTACTAAATGAAAACAAGTACCAATGGCATATCTTCTTTGGGAGAGGAATTAATTCAAGATTTCACTCAACTTAATCTTTGAATGCCCGATTCATCTCGCCGATCGACCGATGAACTCCGGTGTAAAGGACCAAACCTGAAAAAACCCTAAGCGTAATGATGGGATTTGAAACTCGAGACCTCTATATTCACAGACGCTACACTCAGTCCGCGAGACCACTTGTTTCTTAATAACTCGTAATTATTTTTATCAACTTAATTTCAACCTATCTTAAACATTTCGATTATTATTTATTTAAATTATTATTTTAAAATTATTGCAGTGTAATATGGATAACCTGCAACAATGGATAAAAATATTTCTCTTATTATTGTTAATTTAAAATACATTTTTACGACGCGAACCAATTTTTTGTTGATATATTTGCTGATCATACTGTTCAACATAGTTTTGGGACCTGAATATACAAAGTGTTTTCTAATAATATTTTGGTCGCTGAAAACGAATCCGGCAGCGAAATTAGCTTACTACCTGCTATCATGTCAGGTTTCCGAAAAACTTGAGGTTAAATGTGCCAAAATTAGCATTTTTGGCCATAGTTACCAGTTTTTGCGACGAACTAAATGTTTTTTTCAATTTTACTTACGTCACATTAAAGTGCTATCTTTTATCTATAATATGAATTTATATTTAGTACGCTACGTTTTTTATATACACAATTACCATATTATAAATCATTAAATTGAATATAAATAAGATTTTTGTTAGACAAGAACGTAGTCACGCACTTTGGCATGTTACTTATCTCATGAAATTGTTTATTTCTTACTATCTTAATTCAAATAAACTTATATTTCATACACATTTATAAGTAGTATTAATTTATACAATTGATTTATAATATTTATGTGTATGTTTAGAAAAAAATTGTGCCGTAATAAATTCATATTATAGATAAAAGATAACAGATGTGGTGTAAATAATATTGCAAGAAACCAATTTACTTTGACGACAAAATAATAGTAAATATAATCAAAAACGCCAATTTTGGCACATTATCTTACTAGCAAACAAACTTTCAAGTAAACTTGTAAGTCTTCTGAAAGCTATGAGCAGCTTAGATTACTAGCAACATTTGATATATACAGGGTGTCCCAGAATTGGTTTAACATCTCTCGTAGGCAGGTAGAAGGAATAAAACTGAGGTGAAAAGTCCTATATTATTTTGCTAGATTCGCAATAGTTACTGAGATTTTAATTAACAAAGATCCGCGAATAAGCATGCATCGAGCTGTCTTACGCGTGTAAGACTGCCCGCCGGCGCTTCGCGCGCTAACGATGTTACCCATAACGACATATGGGAGGAGCTAATATAACAGCATATACTATACATATACATATTAAAATGTAATTGTGCGAAGCGCGCCGGGCTGTCCTACGCGCGTAAGACAGCCCAATGCACGCTTATTCGCGGATCTTTGTTAATTAAAATCTCAGTAACTATTGCGAATCTAGCAAAATGGTATAGGACTTTTCACCTCAGTTTTATTCCTTCTACCTGCCTACGAGAGATGTTAAACCAATTCTGGAACACCCTGTATATATAAACTTCAAGTTTTCCAAAAACTAAAAGAATCTTAGTTAATCTACAAAACTAAAAGTAAATTTTAAGTTTTCCAAAACTTAGAAAAATCTTAATCTACTCTTTCAAACAAAACTAGAAGTAATCTTTAAGTTTTATAAGCTATTTAGTAAACTTCATTAAAAAATTTTGACAACTTTGAAGAAACTTCAAGTTAACTTGATGGAATCAAAGTAAACTTCAAGTAAACTTAATGAAATCAAAGTAAAATTCAAGTATACTATAGGATTTTAAAATTACTTTAAAAAATCTTGAAGTAAATTTTCCTAAAGATCGATGTGTTAATAAAATCCTACGTGTCAGGTAGCTAATATATGTTCTTCTAATTTCTGTCTTCTACTAATGTTTGTCTAGTTTTCTTCTACTACTAATGTAGCATATAGTAAGAAATATGCGCCGGGATTGAGAAATAGATAAAGAGCGAAAAGAGAGAAAGAGAAAGAGAGAGAAATATATATGTATCTCTTATCAAAATGCGACACTAGACAAAATTGCTGCTATTGATATGAATATATAAAATGTTATGATAAAATTATAAATTTTGATTACTATGTAAATAAAAAATAATTATATTCGAGAACGAAAGATATAATCATTCAGATTGTTTAATTTTAAAACAACGATATTGCGGGTTACATAAAATTTAACGATATGCATTTCACCGACATTACTTTTACCGGCACTATTTTATTATTATTTATTATCACCGACATATTACTGATCAGCACTTTTACGTTCTGTGTCAATCGAAACCAAAAATCATAAAAAATGTAAATACTATTACTCAATCTGTGATACTAAAAAAATTAAATATATACACGTAAAAATTAGACGTTTTCTCCTGGAATCTCACATCTTTTGTTATTTCGCTGCATTCAGTCAATCCATACGCAAGAAGGTAAACTAAAAACTCAATTAAAGATAAGTGAATCACAAAATGTATTTTTCATTGACAGTTCTCTCTAAACACAAAATATCGTTGCACCATAGTCGCGTTTATTATGATCGCTTAATTAAGTATGCAATGCATTACGAAGGTTGTTCACTTAGTTCTTAACTATGTAATCCGGTCAAACAGAACCGAACATATATATAATTATGTGATACGCGAATATACGTAATACTATTTATATCTCTTAAACGACTAACGCAATATATACCGTAAATCTTCGTTATGTATTATGAGATACATTAGTGAAACTGTTTTTTGTCTGTATTATTTGCCTAATGCGAATATTGGGCGTACCAAAGCAATAAGATCTATCATTTTTTTTCATTCTATTATGCATTTCGTATTTGTATATAAATCAGATGCAAAAATATAATAGTCAATAATAAAAGAGTCTCTTTAATATAAATATCATTATTAGGTTTCGCTTATTTTTTTTTTCTACTGCACAATGCTTTTCTTGATTTAATAAAATATAACCTATATATGTATATAGAAAGATTATTAAAAAAAATAATTATTCTTTTGAATTACAGTCAGTCCATTTAGATGCTTTAACAAATAAAAAACAACCAGCCAAGATGATCTGACATATCCTCCCGAGACCTAACGTATCTTGTACGTCATATTTTGATTTCTATGCGTTCATGAGATAATGTTTGTTCCTTAAGCACTGGTCGCGCATATAAAACTTTGTTTGTGTACATCTAATTGTGAAATAATAACCATTGTTTCATCCGAATCAGGAATCATGATTTTCTTAATATTATTAATTATTTATGTAAATACATTTATAATAACGGACTCATAAAATATACTATATATACTTATATATTCTTTTTATTTGCTTTGCTTTACTGTTCTTACAGGTGAAAGCATATCAGATATAATTAAACACATTAAAAATGTATATAATAATTTATCCTTTGTTTCTTATATATTTATATCGTAATTTGTGTGTAATATATCGAGATGATACGTACATGCATTTAACTGTCATAAGAAAAAGTATATATAATGGCTATTATACTATAAAAATAATTACACTAATTTATAATCGCGCTATAGAAATATTTTTTGAGAAATATTTGTTATTTCTACTTCTATATAATATTAAAATGATATTAACATGCATGTCACACTAAAAATGCAACGTTAGGTCTCAGGAGGATATACACAAAACGCGAGTCGGATTTCAAGAATAGACTCTTTATATATATATAATAAAGATATATATATATATCTTCTGTTCTTCTTTTTTTTTAAACAATGCATTTGTGTTCACTTTGTCTGCGCTCGCTAGTTTGTAATATATTACGCACTTTTGAAGCAACAGAGACAAATCGGAAGCTATTAATTACAATATCGAATCTTACGAAATCGATTCTGCTAAATCGCCTGTTTCCACGTTTCAAGCCTACAATCCATACACAGAAAATCGATTGCACTCATCAGCGCTCACTGATGTGTCTACATAATTGTGCATTGACTTAACATTTACGATACATATGTATATACACGTATATATGTATATGCAGAGATATGTTGCTGGTTCACTGTCGCAGAGTGCACTGTTTGAAAAAAAATAAAAAATAAAAAAAAAATAAAAGAAGCCAAAACTACGCAAGTAAGTAGTTCACATTCTTTTTCAGATAAAATAAAATAAACTTATCAAATAAAATGCGTTTTGTAAAACACATACACACACACAATTTTGTGTGTGTATGTGTTTTACAAATAATTTATTATTTCTTTCTTGTGTATTCGATTCTTTATCTGATTGTATGTAGATATAATACGAATTTTTTTCCCAACTATTTAGTAGATGGGAAAAATATAGAAAAGACATTGCGAGAAGTGCAACAAAAAGCAGTTCTTATTATTATCATGTTTAATGTAGACAAGCAAACGCTTTTCTTCAAACGCTACTCTGGATGATTAAACAACCAATTTGTTGTATTATGATTAAAAAAAAATGTATCGTTTGTTATAAGCATACTTTGCACTCGTTGCAGCCAAAATTGATTTTACATCAATTTCGTCTCAAAATTTTGCTTTAAGATTTAATTAAAGATACAATATCAACATCTTGTACAAGTAGAAAAACAATAATTTTCCTTCGATTTGTTCGAAAAAAAAACAAAATTGATTTTATTTGTCTTCTTTTTTTTCTTAGTAACAAAACGAACGTATCTATAACACAAAAATTCGTCGAGTGCAAAGAATTGAAGACGAGTTCCTGATTTCCGGGCTCGACAGCATCAAATATATGTCGTGTACACACTCACGTTTCAGAAGAAATGTCGTGCAACAGCGAACCATTATCGGAAGATAAAACTGACTCCTTTATTAGTATCTAGTACGAATATCACGGTAGTACATTTTTCTCTTCGTTTGAAATCAGTGTTGACATTATCACGTGCACAAAACTGCATTTTTAAGCTGCTTACAATTGAGGTAATCCATGATATAAGGCCCACGTCACTTTCCATTTCGGACTATCGCATACACTACTCGGTAGCAGTACTGCTGACACTTTCGTTTTCCTCCTCTCATTTGCTTTCGCGTATTATCCTTAACTTACCTAGAATTAATATATTGTTTGCAAGCCTGCGCGAACTTAAAGTCGAACATCGAACGACTCTGGCATTTCCGTTGTCGCACAATCGCTTTGCTGTCTCTAACTCATTCTTTCAACTTATCCTCAACTAAGTATACTACGACTACGCTTCGACATATATGCATCACAATACGGATTAGTATACCTAACACACACATTTTTCACTTTACACTAAATATTTAAGTATTACATGTTCAACCCAGTCTATAACAAACGTTAAAACCATGGTAATGTGAAGATTGAACAAATATAAAAAACAGTAAAATTTGACGTGGACTATCGTGAGACATTCGTCATCATGGATGGCAAATAAATTTTTGTGATAAGAGATCGTATAAATTTCGTAAAAATCCTTTAAAAGAAAAACAATAATCAAATCGAAATGTTGAGAGATGTAGAGAGTAGGACTGGCACTCAATTTGCGTCAATAAACTTCAATATTATTTTAACTAACATTTTGCAAGTTTAATAGCAGCTGTATTTTACATTTAACGCTGTTTAAAGAGAAATGTATATTTTTTACTTTGTCTCAAATAAAATTACGCGAGAATACGAACGATTAATTTGAACTTTTACAACTAAACCTAGTCTTTACGTCTTTGTTGATTTATTTATCAAATAATATTAATTTTACCTAAAAAATTTAAATTATTTGTATCCATCCGCGTTCGCGTTTAGAGTATATCGTAAGCATCATGTTATAGAAAAAATATATCGAGAGAGAGAGAGAGAGAGAGAGAGAGTGTGTGCACAGAGAACAATAAAAACAAGATAATGTACGCAAGAAATTAAATAAATTGAAGAATAGAGACTCTCTCTGCAAAATCTAGAAACTTTACATACATATGTCAAAATTATCCTTGCTATTATACGAAAACATGTAGATCATTATTCTACTCTGTACATCGTGGCTTACATTCGTGTACAAAAGATATTGAGATGCAAGTACATGTAATATTTTCAATCAAATCGCATTACGTGCAATCTTTTTCACCGTGTTGACACGTATACGCGACATGATCGACGAGCAATGAGTGTGATCTTATGTGTTTCTAAATTCTTTTGGCACCTTGTCTCTTTATTTTTTGCGCTATAATCTTCCAGAAAGTGGCGAAAGAAAACAATTGCTATCTTTCAAAATGAAAATAACAAAGACAAAGAAGCATTTTCGTTAACTGTAAATCTCGGAGAAATAAAAGTATCAAATAAGTTAAAATTCAAGTAAAGTAAGAAAATAATCATCAAAAAGTATTCGAAACATTTTGTGCGTCATTAGGATTTTTTTTTTTTTTTTTAATCTGACAAAAAATTACAAAGGAATAACTTTGAAGTGCATATGCCAAACTGAAGAATGAGAGATATCTCTCTTGTTTGTTTTTCTTTTTATTCCGTTTTTTCTAACACCCTGTGTGACTCGCGGAACTCTAGGAACGATTCTACACTCACAATATTTAACGGTAAGGAGGATCTGCTAAATTTTCACGTTATAACGAACTTCGAAGTACCGATATTTATATACCATCATTTTAACGTGATACGTAAACCGGGAAACACTCTTGTATCTTATATACAATGTATACAGGCTACAACAACATACAAATATTAATCTAATTTTTTTGTGCTACTCGATACTTCCGCATAATATTATATATCAATATAACCATTTACTCACATTGTTATGTATATAATATATGTATATAATAGACTATTTTATGCTTGCTTTGTGTGTTTCCTCTTCTTTTTTTCACTAATCTATTACGGTATCTCTTCTCTTCCGCGTGCGCGGTACAGAAGGTTGTTGTAATTACGAAAACTCTAACATTTTCGATCAAAATTATAACACATTTAAATGTAAAACTATTTCTGAAATACATCTGTCGCGATTGCAAAAGAAAGATATGAGGAAAAGTAAGAAGGATGTAGGATGTAGGAATCAACAAAGGGAAATAGATAATCCCTTTAATAATGATACTCCTGTTTCATCACACCAAACATGTATATCAAGAAACCTTATGATCGCAACCTCGCAATGTCTGCGATATCTCGGTGACTGTTCGTACGCGAGAAAACGTCATTAAATGGTCATTCATGTTTGAAAAGTTGGTCAGAACAGATCTATCCTGCCAAATAAGGTCCTTCTATCAAAGAATATATAAAACAACTTTCGCGAATACGAATACATTTGTTCCCACAAGTACTCTAATCGCTATTGTAATTCAAAACACAGGCCACAAGAATGCAAATATCGCGAAGAAGAAAAGCAGTCAAATCAAGATCTAACGTTAGCAGTGTGAGTTGAATCTTGTGAGTTGAATCACTCTTTTCAAAGTGAGTTGAATCCCTGTATTACCAATTCTCTTCCGATCTCTTGTTTCAGCTTCTAAAGATTTATTCGTTTCACAAGTTTCCTAACATTTAAATAGACACTTTCTCGCCAACAAACTTTTTATATGAAAACAATGGAATTTCTTTTCCGGTTCATTGAAACTTCTCTGCCGTGTTTATCAGATCAATCTGCTATGCATGCGCTACCGAGTGAGCGAGATTTTACAAAGCCTCCTGCGCAGCAGAAGTACGCGATAGTAGTCAGGGATTGAAACATGTGTATCACACACGCGGCACAGCAAATCATTGTGATTATGTCACACATATCTCACAATTGTATGTTTGCATTACATGTGACACACATAATATATGTACGCTTATATATATATGTATATATATATATATATATATATATATATATATATATATATATATATATATATATATATTATGTATATGTATATAACGCTAAACTTGGTTTAAATATAGTATGGATCGTTTGTCTTCCCTCTTTTTTTTTATTTTTTTTTTTATTTTTTTTTTATTTTTATTTTTTTTTACATCAATCAACGGCGTACACTCTCCGAGTGCACCGAGCAAATTCGCGCATGAATTTGACTCGTGTTTCTATATTATTGTTAACAACAGCAGACTATCTGATATAACATAACGTTATTTTTTTTTGTTCTTTTCGTCACACGCGAGATGTGCCGATTGCATGAATTATTCCAAAATCACCTTGATTTTATCAATACAAAAAGGTGCCGTCAAAAATATCTCTGCTTTGTTGGGCTTTGGTAATAATTAACTCCCTGAGAACGGGATAAAAAATTTTTCTTATGTCGAGTGTATCACGACATTGTCCTCAAGGGGTTAAATCACGCCATAGGGAATTCGTTACTTTGGTAAATAATCACGATCAATGCTAGTCAAGCGAAACTAACATGGAGATCGGGATGGGCAAAACTAATAAATTTTGTAAGTAATTTCGCTACACTTCACACTATCATCTATCATTCTAAAATTTAGAAGAAAACTTTGGAAATAAAAATCAATTATACGAATAGACGTTGTATAAATGTCTTTTTTTTTCTCGTTTGTTTTATTCATCTTTCATATTATTCATCTAGAACTCACCTGAGGATTTGTTGCGCTGCTTCGCTCGAATAATTATTGCTTACATAATTTCAATAATGAGTAAAGTAATTGATTATTACGTGTAATAACCGATAATAATTGATTATACTATACTAATTATTGACTGCTGCCCATCCCTATAAAAATTTTGCTCGTCTCCTACGGACTATCTCAAATTGTTCGCCCGTGAGAGGGGCACGCTTTGTGGTAGTAACAATTTCATGTTATTATCTCGTTTATATTTTTTTTCTTTTTGTTGTATTTTCGAAACATCACAAATATCAACGATTGTGAAAACTATGACTATAATCTTTTGCGAAAGTTTTGTCAACATCTGTCTTTACTTATATGTGTAGCATTACTGAGTGATTACATCAATGTTATGTGTGTAATTTGTGTCAATGAACCAATTGTTACATATATTTTGATAGAACTAAAGGAAATTGTATGCAATGATTTTTTTTTTAGCGAGGTTGATTCCGGAAGTCTACTCTATCCAATTATACCGAAATGTGATCGCCTCTGCATAGTCGATAAACAAGGCTGTTCCAATAAAGTAGTTCAATTTTGAAACTTTATTAGCAAAGTAATTCTAAAGCCACTTCAGATGTGATGCAATCTCGAAGATTCACTTCATCTCTGACATATTTTTCAGGTACGACCAGAAAGAGTAAAATACGTACAAAGATCAGCATCAATGCCTTAACATTTACTAGAAATACTCTGTATAGAATTTTATGCAATATGACTGCACATATTATATTGAATAATAATTGTTTTTTACTACTTTTCTTTTTAATATTTTAACTTTTAGTTTAACGTAATGAAACTCTAACTATAAAGTATCTGTAATGGGAAAATATTGAGGCGGGCTAAAAATCTTGTAAATGTTAAGGGTTTTGCCAGTCAGTGTATATAATGCAATCGCGAAAAATAACAGGCAATGATTTCCACAGGAAATTATTTCAAAAATAATTTAAAACATCTCCAAAAATATAAATTTGAATGTTGAAATAATATTAAATGTACAAATGTCAATTGTACAATTGGCTTTAAAGTTGTATTTATAATTATTGTTCGATCATATATTTGTATAAATGTGCTCAATTTTACCAAACATTTCTGCACGTTAGTTTTTTTTATGTATAAGTTTTGAGAGATCGAAAAATGCAAACAGAATTAAAGAAAATAGATGCTCAACTTTGTTTGATACAAGACTTATTCAGCTTGTCACGGGAGTTTTCACTGTAGATATTTGGAAAAGGATGAATTTTACAAATTTAACAGAGAGACAACAAACGTGTCTTCGCTAAATCTTGGTCACGTAACTCTATAATGCGTATAATAATATTTATTACAAATATAAATATATAAATGTGTATGCGTAACCGTTACTATTATGCTGAATTAATACTCATTATCCTACGACTCATCAGCTTTGCCGTTCTTTGGATTCTCTTTGTTTTTTCGTTCTTTGACGAAAAAATAATTCACTCCATTTAGATGAACTCGAAGGGGCAAGTGAAAGAAGACGGTACGCGTGTAACGATGACGTTGCCTATGATTATCGCATTTAGTTCTGAGTTAATGTGATCACAGTAGTGAAATTTTTAAATATTGTACACAAACCCTCCGTTCTACGGGCGAACTTCACTAAAAACCTATCACACACATCGCGAGAAATTGATATTTATATTAGTGTTATATAATAACACTAATTTTTTCTCGCAAAAGCAACACTTCTTCCAAAAACGCGACGTATCTATCTCTCTTTCACTTATTTGCCTCTTTTCTTTTAGAATCCCGTGACAATGCATATATAATCTCATCGCGAGCGCATGCAAGACTCAAACAACACAAACCGTCCGCAAGATTAACAACGTCCATTAGACGATTGCGTCGTCTGATAAACAAACGCTCGGAGTGTTCGTCGTAGAGCGAATACTATTCACGAGGATAACTTTGTAGTCTCTGTATCGCTCATCGTCGCACCGGGCGGCAACAGGACAGACACGGAAGAAGGAAATAGGAAGAGAAGGGTGAAAACAGAAAACGGCACTTGACATGTCAGGGGAAGCTTCTCGATTTCGCTACGGCGTTTCGCCCGTAGCTATCGCTCTTCCTCTTCTTTATGTTAAAGTGCCTGCCATTTGCACGACTGTAATTTCTGCAGAGATTCCACGCATTCTCATCGCGTTAAGTTCGGCGATGCCATACGAAGCGTTTAGAGCGCTTTGTGTTCTAACGACCGAATCGTTTTCGAAGAATTCAAGTTTTATCGCTGTGTTACAATAACGCTAGAATCGCGTAATTCGTCATTACGGAATGACAGCTAGACAACAAAAAGCAATAAAAACGCTTCGTTTCAATCGCGATTAACATTTCGATCGGCACGGTTCCTCGACGACCAGCATCGTTAAGAACGCCGTGAGTGCGATGTGTAAGGGGAAAGGGATGCTGCACACAGTCGTTGCGAATGGTGCTCGTCGAGATCGGTTGCGGGAATATCGGGCAAAAGAAAAAGTTGCCTCGTTAACGTAACTTCAACTTCGAGAACTCGCTCGACAGAATATCATTTGTTGTCGATCAAGGGAAGCGTATCCTTTACTCAGGCTTCAAGCGATGCCACTGCACAATGGTCTGTCTCGGCTTTGTGATCATATCCTGCCAATGCTTTGTTTCGCTCGCGCCACTTCCATTTTTTCCTGAAAGGAATTCACGTGTGCGTTTTTACGCACACGCCGGTTTTAAATTTCTTTCGTTTTTGTCGAATTTTTGTTCGTCACTTTGCTTCATTCTCGGTCAAAAAAAAAAACAGTCTTTTTGATCGAATATAAACGCAGACTATTTTATTTTAAAACGTTGGAACTCCAGTAATTCGTAAATTGAGAAAACAAAATATCGTCTGCTATAGAAATCCTAAATAGTTTGTGAGACAAGTTGCGAAGTAGTAGTGAAAGTTCGAATTACCTGCGAGCTGAATCCGACCGATCAGTTCGTTTCGTCCAATGTTGTCGAAATCCATCACCATCACATCTAGAGAACATTCTCTGATCTTTTCCCAAGGTACGTTGAAAGAAAATACCTCATTAAATACAGGGTTCAAAGTGCATTTAAAAATTGGAGTTTTGCGTTTCTCGATCCTTTTGTCGCCAAATTGTAACCACACCTTGACGTACGGATCTGAAATGATGATTAATTGCTCTCATAATTTTTTTTTTCTAAAAGTTTTACAATTCTCTTAAAATACGCGTTATGTGTGCATATTAAAAACTACAATTTTTCAAAAGTACTTGGTTTGTATACATGTAATTTTACACAAGATAAGCTACACAATATAACGTGTGAGCTATACAATATAAACGTTACCTGATTTTCCATTGATATCTTTAGCTTTGAGATTTCTCGCCTTTAAAAGAGTCAACGTCAATATGGAATTACTCGGATGATAGCACAGTGAACACAAGAGTTCCCCGCATTTATCTTTAGCTGGCGGCTTGAGAGCCTTCCAAAATGACGGTTTCTCCGATAGATCGACCTACGGCAAATCGAAACATTGCTAATCGCAATTGACGTATTACGTAAGTATATTTTATTATATTCAATTACCTGTTGTTATTATTATTATTATTATATTTGTCGTGCTACAATTATATTTGTTATATCTATAAAGCAATGATTGTGTGTATCAATCTTTTTATGCAAGGACAGTGCCACAAAATGCAGAACGACCTATTTGTCGGCATTTATTACAGATTGTTCTTGGAAAATCAATGTATGCATAACATAGAATTATCACCCGCGCATATGTCTCTTACAATTAGTGTTATTGCGCACTGAAATTATCGAACAACAATAATTTCTGACAACTATTTATTAAGTGATTTCAATAATTGTAATAAAATGGAAAGAGTAATAGTTTTGAATTCCAATTGTAATGTTTTTCGAGTTTTACAATAATTTATAAGCATTTTTTGCAAACGCACGTAATTGTTCCGTAGTCGGTTCGAAACTCACTCGTTTAATTCGACGGCAATTAATAATTACGAGATAACAGGCTGCAGATGCCGTGCGGAATAGAGACGTAAGACGAGCGAATGCGAGATGTACACGTCAGATTTCGCATATTCGTCGTGAATCCCTTAATTCGCGCGTCTACCGCGAGTAATAATTGAACCGCGTAAATTGCAAGCAGACGCGTCTAGCCAAATTACCTGGCAAAGCGGCAGAAACATTTCCCCTATGGAATCGTCCCTCGAGAATCGATCGTAGTCGAACACGTGCAGATGTAGCACCCTGCTTTGCAGCTTTTGTATGGGGAAGCCTGGATTCACATAAATACGTAAACTATATTAAATTACACATTTACATTTGCACACCGCTCAAATATCAGTTCTTCATGAAAGAAAGAGATAATGTTCTCGAAATATTAAAATTAATTTTTTGTTCAAGAGTATATAATCGCATTTTTATTTATCATTCGCGCGAATATATTTTAACATACATTCTCTCATCTCGAGATAAAGAAAGATTAAAGATATTCATGTGTGAATATTAAAGTAAGAGTGATCTTAAAAATCGTCCGGGGTTCTCGAATTTTGAACCAAATAATGTGCTAAATTTGATAGCTTATGATGAGACATTGATCGCAGAAAAATTTCACATTGAGTTTACTTTTCGTTTCGGAAATAGGCGAGATCAAAGTTAACTTTGACTTATTTTGAAAAGTAGGCTTAATGTAAAATTTTACTGTGACCAATCCCGAGTCGAAATTTAGCGTCTACATTGAACCTCAAGTTTTCTTTTTTTATGTAAGAGTAAGAGAGAAAGTAAATCCTACTTTGACGCTGCTATACGTCCGAAATTTCCTTTTTTCCTGCTAAAGTTTTAAAGTAGGGTTTAATTCTCAGATCAGACTGCGCATTGCAGGCTCTGATAGGCTCAAAATAGGCTCTAATAGGCTCAAAGTAGGAGTAAGAAAAAAAGTAGATGCTGCTTTGACGCTGCTATACGTCCGAAATTTCTTTTTTTCAAAAATTGAGGTTCAATGTAGACGCTAAATTTCGACTCGGGATGTCTCATCATAAGCTGTCATTTATTAACGGGCGAAATTTCACTTCTTTTTGAAGTCATTCTTTATATATGTGTGTACGTAGCTATACGTACATTCGCTAGTAAATAAATTCAGTTTTACAGAATTAGAATTATATTTCAGATTGCATGGTTTGTTGTTCTGAGACTGCTATTTTGTTACAATTTTCTGAAACTGTTTTTATATAATTAGATATGTATGTGCACACGATATTGTACGTATCTAACTTACACGAAGAGAATTGGTTTTTTCTTTTTTCTTTTTTTTTTTTTTTTTTTTTTCATTTTTTTTTTTTTTTTTTCCGCTTACTACTAAAAGAAAATACGCTGGATTAATACGAGAAGTATTGTAGTACACATCCGCTTACCTTCAAAGTAAAACGTTTCATTCCATCTCGGATTCAGCGTGCGCCTTTTGATTTTTGTCTCGAGCCGATGTTTCTTATCCGGGAGCAATGTAACACGAACGTACGGATCGGAAGTGCCTGACAAGTCTTTCGCCGGTAGATCTTTACCCTGAAGTATAAAAATCCGTTTATCGTGTCAAGATAACATCAGAATTTTAAAAAGCGATAAACTTTCTGTCGCTCTCAAGCCTTTAGTGATTGATATACGGCACATGCGCCTCTTCGTGTACTTCCAAAGTAAAGGGAGTATACAAAAGTAAAGTTTGATATAAATCTCTGTACACACAATGCATACTTGATACACAATAGTTGATTGTATAGATTGTTAAAAAAAGAGAATTTTAATACCATGCTGCGTTGATGTGTAATATTAAGGGGATCTTAAAGTAAGTTTGCTTTATCGATAAATCTGAATTTTGTGTGCAACTAATCTTTTTTTTTTTGACTGTATGGATTAATAAATCCTTTTCTACAAAGTCTAAGTAAAGTACATACAATAAGAGAAGTTCAAATTTATATAACAAAATAAAACAGCAATATTTAAAAAATTTCAATTTTTTGAAAACTCACTTAGGATCCCCTTAATTAATATTTGAAGAAAAATTTTATAAAAAATGATCGATTTATATAAAATTTATATAAATGGATATAATGTACAGACGGCGTCATTAATTCGAAGAATAGGCGCGGGGATCGGAGGGCAAGCGGGGCGGTTGCTCGTAGCGCCAACGGGCGCCGTACTAACTAACTAGTAGCAATCGGGTGTCCACAACTGGACACCCGATTTTGGGACTAATGGGTAATTTGGATCAACTGGACTTTTTATGTGATCCCCGCGCCTATTCTTCGAATTAATGACGCCGTCTGTACGTACGTATATAATGTATATAATGTATATAATGTATGTACGCGTAATTGTTGAGATCAAGAAAAAAATCAAGACGTAGTTGTTAATTTAAGAGATACGTTTCATACTATAAACCATCTTAGCAAAAAAACTGTTCTCATCTTCCACGACGAGAGAATTCAGTACGATGCGCAACAGCTTCCGTGATATAACTAGCATCTTTAGACAGATTGCGAGTCTGTAAGTGGCTTTTGTGTGCGGCACAGTCGATGCTGTTAATAGGAGAGATACGTGAACGGTCAACACAAAATCAATAACACCTCTTAACGGCCTTGGCGGCCCGCCTGTGTTTTGAAAAATAAGTTTTGTCTAAAAGTGTCTCTTCAACTTTATGTTCTCAACAGTACTGAAAAGTCGTGATCGTGGCCTTGAAGATATTTACCATTTAAAAGTGGCCGATCATTTTTCATTTGCCCGTCAGACTTTTGAATTTTATAACGTCAATACGTCGTGAGCTAAATTCTTTAAAGAAAACGACACTGTGCATGCAAAATGCAGCAAGCCTTTATATAAATTTTCAAGTTTCATGCGTACACACGCGATAAAGTTTATATGTAAAAATTTTTCGTCTTATAAAATCCTTACTCTTAGTAAAAGAAATTTCCATATAAATGCATTTCTACTTTCAAACTCTTGTCCGTCTCTCTAAAGATATCGGACATAAATGGAATAAATGCGATGTTTTTGGTTGAACGCTCGGCTTGAATTTTTCGAGACGCCACAAATTTTTATGTTGCGAGAGAAAGATACAATGAGAGAAAAAAGATAAAAATTTTTAAGGATAATAAAAGCATAGTCCCGCCCGAGTCGAAATTTAGCGTCTACATTGAACCTCAATTCCTTTTTTTTTATGTAGGAGTAAGAGAGAAAGTAGATCCTACTTTGACGCTGCTAGACGTCCGAAATTTTCTTTTTTTCTGCTAAAGTATTAAAGTAGGGTTCAATTCTCAGATCAGGCTGCGCATTGCAGGCTCTGATAGGCTCAAAATAGGCTCTGATAGGCTCAAAGTAGGAGTAAGAAAAAAAGTAGATGCTATTTTGACGCTGCTATACGTCCGAAATTTCCTTTTTTCAAAAATTGAGGTTCAATGTAGACGCTAAATTTCGACTCGGGCGTTTTTACCGAGATACATATTTTAGTCCATTTAAAATGCGCATGTTACTAGCTATTAAAAACAACACATTTATACTTCAAAATGTTAAATTAACTGAATTATCTGACTAACAGCAAGAAAAAAAGAGAGATGTTGCGAAAACGTGTATTATTAAATGTTACGAATAAAAGAACTACAAATGTGATTTGTTCATTTTTTTTAATGTGCCTTGATATACCAAAATTTCAAAAAATATAAGCCAAAAATCTCTCTCTCTCTCGCAAAAGATTTTCTCTATTAAATAATTCGACTATACGGCAATGAAATATTCACTAAGAGAAAGGTCGGATGTAAATTGAGAAGTAAAAGTTACCGGCATGCTGTTTCTTTGATAAACTGTACGATAATATAACGGAATTCCATTATAATTTTTGACTAAAAATAGTGCGCACACAGTACACACATAGAGACGACATATAGTTAATCTTCCTAAAGAACGATGAAGTTAATATTGACGCAGACACACACTAATAATAACGCAGACTTTTTAAACCTATGCTCGCGTGTAAAAAATAATTTTACTTTTATATAAAAAACTTTAATTGAGAGAAAAAAAATCTGCCCTACAATATCTCCTAATATAGAAATATAAGGTTTTGTTAAAAAATATATGATATAGAAAAATTATATAAAAACGCGTTTTACGCGTATATTAGAAACATTTATATTAGAACATTTTTATATTAGAAACATGACTATACAAATCGTTTGATTTATTTTAATTATGATCAGAGACTTTGGCATGCTCAAACATTTCACTAATGTCGGGTTAAATCACGCGGGTTAAATTCAGTGCTCACGGAATTTATGCGTTTGTTTACAACAAAAGTACTCGTCCGTTGAACGTTCTATTTTTCTGAGACTCGTGCGACGAGTTTCAAAAGTCCTCGCTATAACCAGAGAGTAATGTATGACGTCCTAGTTTTCCAGAGTGAGAGAACTAAATTTTCGGCGCAACAACATGCGTCTCGCCCGACGATTTATATGATGGCCTTTATCGATATGTTACACATAAAAGATCACAGTTAAAAGTATGTATATATTTTCGTTTATATTTTTTGTGTTATTGATATAAAAAAAAATGCGCAACACTTATTCTGTCTATTAATGTGCACATTAAAGAACTTGACAATAAAATTACAAAAATAATTGAAAAATATTGTATTAATATCTATCTTGTGTTATAGAAGAATATCAGATATGTTCTCTAAACAAATTTTACATATTTTTTCCACACAGCGCAGTTCTTTATCGTACATTAATATAAAACGTTCATTTATTCACATAATATTGTATAATATTGTATTGTATAAAGAGTTAGGGTAAATATACAGAAAAGGGAAGCCCCCTCCGATCGGCTTCTCGTTCACATATATTATCAAGATTACCTTCCTGAGTAACAATATGAAGGGTTTAGCCGTCGCTCATTGTTTATAAAAAAGTTGTGAACAAAAAAAGTTTCATGAATGAACTATCGTTTTTCGACACCGTGTACATTTTAGAAGGAAATGAGTAATGTTTATGTTGCCAACAATGTGTGTATATGTAGCATATCTCGAAAGTTTCTGTTTTTTGTTTTGATTTTTGTTTTGAAACGTACTCAGGAAGGTCATATTTATAATATATGTGAACGAGAAGCCGATCGGAGGGGGCTCCCCCTATTCTGTATATTTACCAGAATTAGATTTCTTTCATCTATTATGTTCAATTATAATAGGTTTATAGGTACATAGAGCATATATTTTTTATTATTGCGATATTATATTTTACATTATTGTTACGTTCTCTATCTCTGTACAAGTACAATATTCCGATTGCTGACAATTGATGCATGCATCGTGCATAGACAAATACGCGTAATATCAAAGCAAAGAGCCGGTTTGGTAGTTTCAAAGAGTCAAGTTTCTAATACAAGCGCATTCATGTACGAAACTTCGACTGACCTGTATAATGCGCAGTATAAGCGTGCTGTTCTGAAAGTCGTACTCGAGGCTGAAGTGGATCTGGCCGACGTTCTCACTCGGTTCCGAATTGTCGATATACATGTCGACCAAAGAGATAGATCTGCTTTGCAAGAACGCTTTCTGTAACACACAATCATCGATACGCGACTTTTACACATTCGTTTCCTTCCTATTTCAGAAAATTATTCGTTTCGAGATTCTTTACGGGAATTTCATGCTTCGAAAAAGAGAAATGCAATTAGAGTTTTGATCGAAAAACTTGATTCTTTTAAAATCGTATTATTTGCGTAAAAGAAACAAAATCTCGAGCAAAAAACTTTAATGAACATTTTCTTCTTCTTTTTTTCTTTCATATTTGATGTATGAACAGTTATATTCTCTCGTATTTACGAAGGCAGGCACACTAATATCAGGTTGCGATATATTGCAATATTCGCCGTGATATCACGCGTTTTCAGTATAATTGCAGATGTATTTGTACGCGAAACAAAAGCTATTAGTGCGCACTTTTACGCGCATCTCACATATAAACTCTGTTTGTGAAATATAACAAAATACATAAGATAATATGTTCTAATATACATATATATTGAAATTATCATCATTTTTGTTTAATTGCGTGTGAACATATACACTTATTGACAAAAGTTAAGAAACAAAGTAGTATTTTTAACATTAAATTGCTGACCAATAAGACGCCGCACATTATTTTTGAAGTTATTTCCAAATAAATTGAATTTACTTTTATCGCTTCACAGAATTGTTGACTACTTAGTAATATATACATTGGAAAATCAAAGTTTTTAAATAATTACGGTAAATATGCAGAAACAGAGCACCCTCGGAGGTCATTGTCTTTGACATATGTTGTCAAGGACACCTCCCTGAACAACAATCTGAAGGTTTTAGCCGTCGCTCGTTGTTCGTTAAAAAATTATAAACAAAAGAAATATCATAAATTAAGTCTTATTTTCCGACACCGTGTACGTTTTATTCGTGTTGTAAGCGTGTAGGCAGGGGGAGGCTGCGCCCCCCCGCAGGAGGAGAGGCTTCGCCCCTTTCTCCTGCTCCCCCTTCACGAAAAAATGAAGGCATATAACAACGTCAATATGTACGGTTACACTCACAATTCAGTAAATCACAAAGAAAATTTCTTAGATCCTCATAATAATTGTCACACGCAAAATATCGAAAGAATTTGGCGAGATATGCGAAGTAATATTCCACGTTTCGGAACATCGGTAGAACATTAATTGAATTCTTTACTTGACACTTAATTGAATTCTTCATTTTTTCGTGAGGGGGGAGCAGGGGGGAGGGCGCAGCCCCTCCTGCCTACACGCTTACAACACGAACAAAATGTACACGGTGTCGGAAAATAACAGTTTATTGCCGCAACTTCTTTTGTTTATAATTTTTTAACAAACAACGAGCGACGGCTAAAACCTTCAGATTGTTGTTCAGGGAGGTGTCTTTGACAACATATGTCAAGGACAATGACCTCCGAGGGTACTTTGTTTTTATGCATATTTACCCATATATATACATATATTAATTCCTTAAATAATAATTTTATTTATTTCTATATAATTTTATCTGCAAATTTCTAGTTTAATTCTTTTTTTAGTTCAATTCTTTTAATGATTATTACTAATTCTATAGTTTGTGTTGCCACGTTATTCTGACTGATTGTGAGAAATCTGTGGATTCATTTTGAGCATTTTACCGAAGGGTGTTCTCCTTTGACGTTTTGCAGCTGCTTGTTCTGTAGTCCGGCGGTTGGCGTGCGAGGTTCCGCGCTTCCTGCATTGCTGCTTCCGCTACCAGGTCCTGCTGTTGCACCTGCTGCACCGCTCGCGGGACCACCGCTTCCGCCTGCCGGAGACTTACTAGCGGGACTACCGGTCGTTCTGAAAAAAATATAAAAAATACTTTGCGTTACACGGGCGTTTGCTTTCTACTTTAGTGTATGAATGTAGACTTTTCTCTGTTATCTCTTGATCCTCACTTCAAACAAAGCAGCGTTGTTAAACAAAATCGCCTAAGCGCTAAAGAGACACTAAAGCGAATTTATTTGCTTTTATTACTCTTAGATCGTAATTATTGCTGTAAGGAGCACAGAAGCTGTTGGTTCTGGTACGTTTGTCGCTTTTCCGTGATATTACCTGTTTGTGTGTATTATAAAACGACATTTATAATAATCTTATGATATTTTCTATCGCGCACACAATTTCTTTATAAAGAAATGTGTGTGTAAGTTGTATATATAATTATATTGATTCTATTTATAATCAATTTCAAAATATTATTTATCTTTAATAATATGAGAATCAGATTTCAATTACAATACAAGGTTTATATTCCCAAGTCAAAATTTAGCGTCTACATTGAACCTCAATTTCTCTTTTTTGATGTAAAAGTAAGACAGAAAGTAGATGCTACTTTGACACTACGTCCAAAATTTCCCTTTTTTCTGCTAAAGTTTTAAAGTAGGGTTTCATTCTCAGCTCAGACTGCGCATTGCAGGCTCTGATAGACTCAAAGTAGAAGTAAGAGAAAAAGTAAATGCTACTTTGATGCTACAATACGTCCAAAATTTCCTTTTTTCTTGTTAAAGTTTTAAAAAAGAAGAATTGAGATTCAATGTAGACGCTAAATTTCGACTCGGATTACCCTTCAGAGCCAGACATAAAAAATGACCTACGAGTTGTCCAGACTGGGTCTGTGAGATCCACACAACTTTACGTTCGAATATCTCCGCAAAAAATTAATATTTTTTCATTTTTTTTTTTTTTTTTTTTGAAATATTGAACGATTCTGCGTTGATCAAAAGAAATAGATTGAGAAAATCTCTAGTAGTTTTGAAGATACAAGTTTGAAGAAAAGAAAATTCTAACACTTTTTTTCGAAAAAAAGGTTTTTTGTTTAAAAATTGATAACTTTTTGTGTAATTAAGATTTTTACAAAATTCCAGAAGTTTGTACGAACTCGTTCGTACTTACAGAGACAAAAGTGTCTTCTAAAAATTGTAAAATTAAAAACATTTTACAATGAATTTTTTCGGATGTTATTTGAAGAATGCATTTTTCTAGCGCCCAACTTTGACATGCAATATTTTAGCACTAAATCACTATTTGGATATATTCTTTGTTTTAAGCAGAAAATTTAAACAATTCTGCGTCGATCAAAAAATCTCTAGTAGTTTCAAAGAAACGTTTCTGCGCCTAATACATCGCTATAAATGTACATATATTTTGATAAAATTATAAAAAAACAACAGTTTTTTAATATATTAGAAGTGCACAAACTGAAAAAAAAATTTACTTACTTTTCGAAATGCCAATGTATTGTCCAGACTTGGGTCTCTCAGATACTTTTCGCATTTTAAAATTCAAATTTCGCAAAGCTATTAAACAAAGGTCGCTGTTAACGACTTCTATCATTGTCTAAGACCCTAAAGTTTTTTTATAGCCTTTAGATGTCGCGCTAAATTAATACCTAGTAGAGACACCAGTTTAAAACTTTCGGGTGAGTCTCGGAGATTCATATCTGGCACTGAAAGATTAATATATATTGTAATATTTTTTTTTTATTCTTTCGAAAAGTTAAATAATTTAATTAGTTACTTCCTCTCTAGAAACACGCGTAAAACATCATATAATTGATTATCGACTCATTGTTTTGCCAGAATTGCTGTAAAGATTTGCTAAAGAGTGATCCTATAAAAAGTTGAAATTTTTCCTGTTTTGCGGCTCTCAAATTTGGAACTAAATAGTATGTTAAATGATAGCTTATGATGAGACAGATTACAGAAATGTTTCACATTGAGCTTATCTTTTGTCTCGGAGATAGACGGGGTCAAAGTTACTAACAAGTTTGGTGCGGAAAGAGTACCGGTATCGTGACATATTCACATGTACGGAACTGTCTATCGGAACTCAGTTATTTTGATGAGACTTTGCACACTTGTAGAACTATGACATATTGTTTTTATATCGGCAAGATGTACTCTAAAAAGTGAAAACTACCCAGTAGATGTGAGGATAAGTTTTCATGTTTCAACTAGAAATTTATATAATTTATACAATCTGCGTGTTGGAAAAGATAAAATAGATTTAAGAGGTTTTTAATGAGGTTGTGCTAATCAAAATAGCGGATTCAATATGGAGGACATCGACTAACTTTTACAATTATTAATGGATACGTCCAAAAATGATCATTTACACGTTTCTGTGAAGTCGCTAATTACGACTCTGAACATGGAATTTCAAAATCCAAATTCGCAGGTCCAATATGTTAATAAACTGACAAATTGCTAAACTTAACCTAACTCAAACAGCGCAGGGGAGAGGAGTTCAGTACAGCAATAAACTGATAAACCTGGATATGGAGAGGAGTTTCTGAAACATGAAAACTTCTCCTCACATCTGAGAGGTAGTTTTCACTCTTTAGATTGCACTCTTGCCGATATAAAAAATATATATGTCGATTATTTGTCAGTTCTACAAATGAAGTCCCATCAAAATCGATGAGTTCTGATAGAGTTTTATAGGTTTACGTGTGAGATAGGTCACGATATCGAGTACTCTTTCCGCACCAAACTTGTTAGTAACTTTGACTCCGTCTATCTCCGAAACACAAGATAGGCTCAATATGAAAATATTTTTGTGATCAAAGTTTCATCATAAACTATCATTTAGCATAGTTGGTTCCAAATTCGAGGGCCGCAAAACAGCCAATTTTTGGGGTTATTTAATTCTGCTTGTAAACTCAGTTCTTATTGCAGTAATTAAATCTATACTATAAACATTTTGCCTTATCAAAAAAATATAATTGCGTTCAGGAGAGATAAATTTTAGAAATATTAAGCGTGTGTTTCTGATGGTTTGAGAGTCTTGTCAAAACTACATTCGCGCTCTTATATATATATATATGTATATACATATATAGTATATTCATGCACTAGGCTTATCAACACACGTACATCCTATGCATCCGATATTCACGTTTCTATAACATTAGGTACAATAGCGACCTAAGATCTAGATAAATTTTATCGCTCAATCTACTATCGCATCTCTACACACAGCGAACTATGCTGCTAATCGAGACTACGTTCTCTCAAGTACGCAAACCGATACGCTTCTGTCATGTCATCGGCTTATTAATAGTTGCTGTTTACTACTAGTCCGCGCAACTGCGGAGCGTTTATAATTGTAACTGCGGAAAAAAAAATAAATTTTCATGAATATAAAAGAAAATATATATAGCAAGATGTAAACGTGTGCGATACACGTTTATTTTAGAAAAATGTAGAGAAAATTTGGGCAAATTTTATACAAGGAAACTTTTAATGAGTTTGTAAAATTATAAATATAATTAAAAGATTTTGATAAATTGTACGTACAAAATCTCAAAAAATACTTAATAACATATATATTTTTATAAAGCATTATTATATCAGTTTGTTAAGTCATTATCAATGTATATCAAATCAATGTATAACAAATAATGAAACAAATTAAAATATTGCGTTAATAAAAGATTTCATACATATACATATATGCTTTCGCGTGTTTTCTCATAATCTTTAATGCACGAAAATATGTATTTACATAATTTGCAAATTTATTCAATCTCATTTTCTCTTTCTGTTTCTCTCTCTCTCTCTTTCTCTCTCTCTCTCTCTCTCTCTTTCTCTCTCTCGCCAATAATATATCAATGTCAGTGTACGCGCTCGTACGCAAAAATATAATTATTTGTACCATAAGTGTCTTCGCAATTTCAACGCGTTTTGCGAAAATCAATGTTGCTAAAAATATGAACATTCTATCTTGCATGTAAAACCAGAAGTACACACAGAGGAGAACACACTTGCATTAATTTTTTTTATCCGATTAAATGAAGATATTTTTCACGAGATCGGCAAAAAGCTTTCTTATTTACGGTGATTCTTTATTTATACATAACAATGAAAATAAAACTTTGCGCACGACGTTCCACTCGATGATCGATCGTCGATGCTTGAGAAAATGCGTGAAAAAAGTAAAAAAGGTGTGAATAAATGTAAATTCTGTCACAGCCATATCAAATGAACAAATAGTATAATAATAATATTATGTGCAAAAACAAATATATAAAACGTATAAAAATGTTTGACTTCCACTTCAACAAAAACTCGGGCAAAAACTCGAACAAAAATTTGAGTATAACATGGAGCTCTACATAAAAGATAATATTGCAATGAAAAAATAGTTCACAAAAAGTAATCAATATTATAAAATATATATGTATATGTGCGTAAATTTTATGTATTAGTTCATAATAATTGCACGAATTTAATCGAAAATTGAACTTCTACTAAAATTTTAATTTAATCGAATGCCAGCCGATAATTGCTTATTATTATTCCAATATCGCAATTACTTGTAGATTACTGCGTCATTGACGTTAATTCCGAGCGATACGTCTTGTTGGATCTTCAAAACTCGGTGCACAAGTAAATCATCGGACGCTTGCGAATTCTGAATCCGAGGTTCAAATTAACACGATAGCGAGCGCAAAAGATTAAGAAGACAATAGGTAAATCGTGTCAAACGATAACACTTGCAACACGTTGTTTTCAGTCGAGGCTCTAACAACGAGAAACCGTGCGGATTCAACGGATGTATAGGCGGATGTGTGGCTGAAGAGACTCATTGTGTTCGGATGAATGGCGCGCGCTCGAGGAACAAGTTTTATGACTTCGCGAATAGCGACAGAAGTTCGCAAGCGTATTTATCAGCTCCCGTTGAAGTAACATTATAATACACGAACATTTCGCATTCAAAAAGCAAATTGTGAAGAAATTGCTCTGCAAAATCATTTTGCAAAAAGTCAGACCTAAAATCCTTTGATCATTAGTGTTTGATCAGTAGTGTTCTTTGCGCAATACGACACTCAAGTCATCGACCGCCATAACTACTCCAATACGCAGTATATAATACATGCAAAATTGATAATTTCTAAGAGAAAATATCTTGTACTAATTACAAATGCCTTTTAGTCGTAAAATACAATCGAATAACATTTTTACATGCCAAGTGTGTTGATGTCGCAAACTGATAAAAGAAAGCAAACAGTTTGACATGAGACGTAACGTTTACAACAAACGTTTGTTGTGAAAGCTGTCGGTTCAACAAAGATGGTCATATAAACAAGGTCTAACCGGTATATCTATTCGTGTTCTTGTTTTATGTAGACAAACGATAACAGAATCTGTTCCAAGGTATAAAGAATAAGATGAATCCAGCAGCGGTATGTGGAAACGACCAAGCTGGATCTTCCAAAGTGGAGAAAGCTTTGTCACTACGGTAGTAGGTAGCAAGAGATATATTGCTTGGTACGCTAACGGGGACAGGTGTGTTGAAAGATAGATAGATGACAGAGATTGAAGAAAAATATAGAGAGTTTGTGGTGAACACACGCTGACTACAGACAACACAAATAACGTCGCGTAGTCATCGATGCTCATCAGACAAGAACTGATAAAACTCGTTGACGAAGACTTACTTACGCAGTAAAAGTAGCGCCGCATCGGTGGACAGTATGTGTATCCGTTTAGAAGAAGAGAAATCGGAAGAGAAGATAGAAAAGAGAAGTTAAAAGAAAGCGGCATAGAACAATGAATGTTTTATTAAAGAGTGTTGCTGTAACTCGCACAATCGTTCGTATACTTACTCTAATTGCGCTCTGTGGTTCCGATTGTTACAGCGAAATGAGGCATGAAACAGAAAAAAATCAATGATTAATTAATTTACTGAACACAACATACAGACAGAGACCAACCATAGACTTCGACACATCAGACAGAGAACAAGAAACATTGTCAGCCAACTTGGAGACAACACACACAACAATTAACAAACGTCGTAAACAACTTTTTAATTTACACAATTAGAAGTGGGAAATTTCACAAAGAAGAGGAAAAAAAATTGCGTGCACATTAACACGATCAAGAACGCACTTTTTGAACGTGAGATTTGAATTGTAAATTGAAAGCTCACAGATAATGTAATACTGACAAGTGTTGTCGAGAAAAAATGTTACAGTAAACTGTAGTTGAACTAAGTGATAATATCTTCCAATGTTTACTAAGCCAGGAAGAAGTTCAAATACTCAGAGTGCTCAAAGTTAAATTGCCATCACGTTCAGCAAAACAGTAGTTCAATTAATGAAAAGAAAAAAATACGTAAAATTTTTATACCACTACATAAAACAAAATGATTTTGAGTTTTACTCATTTTTGCATATAATCTCCACAAGACGCAAAGTTATTCTTTGAACTATTTTGCAACTGATTATCGATAATAATTACATCAATCATTTCAAGATTCTCATCAATCTGAGCCTTTTAAAACCTTGTTCAAAATTCTATAATCAATTTTATGTAAATAACATCTGCACGCAAACATAAAGAGATGCGCAAACGTCGATCGGAAATTATTCAATTTTTTCATGTAATAAATAATACAATAATAATATATAGAAAGATATCATTAAACTATATATATTATATATATATAATGTTACATTAGTATATTTATTAATTAATATATATAGAATATATATACAATTGTGTTATCTTTCCAGAGAGGTCAATGTAGAATAATAGAATTTTAATGAGACGATTGTTGTATATACACATTATTATAATTACACACTTATTCTATATTAATTTCAAATTAATATTAAAAATTTTTTCAAAAGAAATGTATCGCGAGTTTTTATGCCATATATATATGTATTAATATATTACGCAGAGCCGCAACATACTTGTTTCTTATGGTATATCCTTTACGACCACAACCGCGGAATGTCTATCGATATTCAATAGCCACATTTGACTTCGCATTATTGCGGAATTACGGCTCCCTGTGTGCGTTAGGAATTCAGTACCTCTGCAACGAAAATAGATGCATGTACTGATAAATGAACACGACGGGATACACAATCTCGTCGATACTGTAGAAGTTTCGATATTAAATCGGCCGCAATAATGTTTTGCATGGTTCTATGTTATATACGCTAATATATAGATACGCTACTATATATGTATAAAGATAGAGATACGCACACGTACAGTCAGGAACAAAAGTAAATGAACAGATGATAAAAATCGATATGAATGGAATTTATCCAATATAATATCATAGTTACATATTTAAACTTTATTTAATATTTATCTTTATAGTATAAAAATTAAATAAGTAACAATCAAAATAAATATTAACACTCTGTGCAAACAGAAATTAAGTATAAACAATAAATCAACCAATAATGAAAAGACAAAAATAAGTGGACATTACCAGTATCTGATAACACAGGCACACAAAAAAAATGTTCGGGCCCACAGACCAGACCACTCATTCTATATGTATTTTGAGACGCTGAATCCATTTCCGTAGTCAGTTTACCCCCACCACGTCAGAATTTTTGAAAAAATGCGTGATACTTTATTTTTTTCTATGATAGCGTACCCGCTTGCTTTCGAAAGATCTGTGTAGTGGATTTCGTTTACGTTTAATTCCTCTATTTTTACAATCTCTTTTCAGCGTCCAACAGTAGTCTGCCATCATATTGACATCCCACCTGCCTTGGTATCTTCTCTCTATTTCTTTAATATCTTGGTGAAAACGTTCACCTTGCTCTTTACTGTAATCACTTAAGTTTCCTGGAAACTGATCTATATGGTTGTGCAAGAAATGCATTTTTAAGTTCATTAGACATCCCATTTTTCCAAAGTTTTGGACAATTTTAGACACTACTTGTTTGTAATTTTTGCTGACGAATTCATTTGATACTGGTTTTTGTGCCGCAAAAAGATGCAAATTTTGTGATTTTTCGGGTATTTTTTGAGTTTTGCCAAAAATCCTGACGTGGTGGGGGTAAACTGACTACGGAAATAGATTCAGCGTCTCAAAATACATATAGAATGAGTGGTCTGGTTTGTGGGCATGAACATTTTTGTTTTGTGTACCTGTATAATTAGTACTTAGTATTGCCGCCTTTTGTTGCAATTACGGCTTCTAATCGTCGCGGTAAACTATTTATAAGATTTTCTATGTACTTTTTATCAATATTTTCAAACGCGCGCTAATTTTAAGTATTGAAAAAGTCTATTTTATTTTCTCGCTTGTCCAAGGGAATTTTGAAATCCAATATATATATGACAAATCCTCAATCGGATTTAAATCAGGACTTTGTGCTGGCCATTCGAGGAATTTAATATTTGGATCATTAAAAACTTTCATTTGAATCATTAAAAACTTTCACTTGTTTTGGTAACATGCTTCGGATCATTATCCTGCTGGAAAATAAAGTCTTCCTTCAAGTTCATTTTTATTATTGCTTCTTCCAAATTTTCATTTAACACGTTCACGCCGGGGCGAAAATCTACGTTTTTTCGCGTGAGGCGGGACTGTCTTATCTCCTTACGCTTCGTGAGGCGGGGCAACACTGTTGCGAAAAAATAAAATCAACTTATTTTTTTAACGACTACTTTTCTAAAAACAAGTGACCCATCGGTGGGTCACGCCGCCCCACGGAACAGTCAGGTGTGACCCACCGGTGGGTCACGCCGGCGTGAACGTGTTAATATTGTAATATATTTATCGGCATTCATAATACCATCAACTGATATTAGAGTTTCAGTCCCATTACACGAAAAACAGCTCCCACCATTAGTGAACCGCCACCAAATTTAACTATATTGTATGTAGTTGGAGTAATGAATGATTTTTTTTATGTTTCGTTTTTCTTTCTCCAAACCTTTAGCTTCTTTTTCAATTGCCGCATTTCAAATTTTGATTCATCGGACTATATTATCTTTTTCCATAATAATATTGGCATGTTAACATATATTTTTTTAGCAAAAGCTAAACGTTTTTTAATGTTTTTTTTTGTTAATATAAGGTTTACACCTAGCATTACAAGCTTTTAATCCCACTTCGTGCAACCTTTGTTTTACAGTTTTTGTCGACACATTTAATCTCAATGAATTTACAATTTCAAGTGAGGAGGAGATCCTTGGATTTTTTCGACATTCGCGAACAATTCGACAGTCTTCTTACTCGGTAGTACAACGTTTTCGTCCACTGTGTCTTAAATTTTTCGCGGTATTATGTACTAAATAGTTTTTATATATTTTTTGACACTTTGTACTTTTTGACAATAATGTGGTAACTTAATTTATTACGGCAGTCCGAAAGAATTGTGAATTTGATAAGAAATTTCGGCAGTTTTTGGCATTTTGATGTTGCTTCTCACTCGTACGAAACGTAAATAAGCACTGAACAATGTGTTCAACGAGACTACGTATAATGTATAATGTTTGCATACATTTCTTGCTTCACAATGATATATCAACCAAGTGTCCACTTATTTTTGTCCTTCTGTAAATGGTTGACTTCTTGTCTAAACTCAGCTTAAACTTATATAGAATGTTAATATTTATTTTGATTGTTACTTTATTTACTCTCTATACTATAAAGATAAATATTAAATAAAATTTAAACATGTAACTGTGATATTATATTGGATAAATTCATATCGATTCTTATCATCTGTCCACTTACTTTTGTCCCTGACTGTATATATATATATATATGTACATATGAGAAAATCGATAGTATGCTTTAAAAGAGAAAGTGTGTACTCTCTATTTGTTTTGTAGCGCTAAGTAATTTCTAGAAGCATGTAAAGTTCGTTTTTTTATTTCGACGTCGAGGCTGTATACGATCTGATATCTTCAAGTTTCAGATTTGTTGTTTTGAATTTAATAAAGATATCTGTACTATTCGTAAAATAAAGTTTACGTCAAATATTTGCAAAAGAGATCGCAATCTGGACTCTCGAATCGTGAGATAGCGATGCAACGTGTAAAATATACAATATTTATTTTTTAAATGTTAAAAGGTTTAGTGTTTCAGAAATTTTTTATAGAGTTTAATAAACTACAAATTGTAATGATTTTTTTGATGATTAAAAGGTTGATAACGCACTTCTAAAAATTTCAAGTTTATTGGTTAACAAAACTCTTTTATAAAGAGAGATTGTTAAAGTATTGTCTATACAATATAATATCACAAACATAAACTACGTATTTTATTCAATTCCATTTGACTTCCCGTGTCATCTGTTTGTTATTCCCTAAAGTGTCACGACAATGTGTGATTAATTTAACGATGTTGTTATTCTAGTACGCACGTATGCACCCAACTGTTGTAGAATCACAAACGTACTGTGACAATGTTTCTTCAGCATTATAATTCAGTCACATTAGCGCAACGTTCTGTTATAAAATAAGATTGTTTCAAGCTTATTTTTGATAATAAATATTTCCTTTTGTAACATTAAAATGTAGAACACTTCTGGATTATAATTTATAAAAATCAACGCAATTAAAAACGAATGAAGAGAACCTGAAAAAGTTTTTGTTTCAAAATTTCGCAACTAAAACAATATTTTTAATTATGCTTTAATTATGTCATTCAAAATAAGTAAAATTTCTCCGTTATCTGTGCAATAAACATATTTTAACAAAAAAAAAAGAAACAAAGTATTGTTCCTGCTTATAATCTAGAATTATAGTACAGCTTTCTCTACAGCCAAGATAGTTGTACAATATTTTCGGAAACATTCCGTACCAAATATATATTACACGCTGTTATACGCCGTGATCGTTTTAATAA